CAACATATTATTTTTCTGACAAAAATTAATTGCAGCTGGCTCTAAGTATACTCAAACTGGTATGTTTGAAGTAACAAAAGCGGAAGAAGAAGAAAAACCAAATGGTAGCCCTCCTGCTTCACCTAATTCTAGTAGTAATACAACAGGACAATCTCATGGTCCATCCAATTCAAAAGCATCTGCATTGCGTGTTACTATACCTAGTGAATTACAAGGAGTAGCTTATATTGAAGTATTATGTCAGAAAGGTGGATAATATTAATTTAATATTTTCTAATAATTTTCTTTCTTTTTTGGTTTTTTTCTGTATGATTTTGATTATATTCGTTTAGAAAATCATCATTATGTATTTTAGATCAGGAAGACCTGTGTAGTGCTAACATTAGTTTACTCAATAGTAGTGCGCATAGTTCCAATGCAGATATGCATTGGCAACAGAAGTTAGAAGCAGCCCAAAATGTTTTATTCTGTAAAGAACTATTTAGTCAATTGGCAAGAGAGGCTGTACATTTACGTGCGCCAATTCCGCATATGGTTGTTGGGAATCAAATTATGGCTACTGTAACTATTATATTCTTTACAATTATTTAATTACAAAGTCGATTATGAAATGTATAAAATTTACTTTTGCTTCAGGTGCTTCCAGGAATTCAACTGATCATAGGTTTGTGTCATAGTACTGGGAATGACAAAAAGCCAACCGCCCCTCCACCTCACAAAACTGATCACGATCATGTATTAGAACATTCCTTGCATCAGTTGCTACGTGAAGTACATCATAAAAATACTCATCATCCATTTCCTCATCCTTCATCGGGTCCTCTTGGACCTAGTAAACGCCGATGTTTGGCTGGTCCAACAGCGGCAGATAGATATGAACTTCTAGAAATGTCAAAGAGTCAAACATTACTAGAACAAATCATTCAACAAGCTCAACACTTTTTCATGAGATTACGTACTGAATATGTTCTGGACACAATAGCAAAAGAAGTTAAGGATCCTTTAATTGTATCTCATTGGATGGCATTAAATTCCCCTACGCAGTCATGTGTCAAAATTAATATATTAACACACGGATACGACAGTTTATATCGTACTTCGTTGATCGTTCATGTAGGAGAAAAATCACTTAAATGTGTCTGTAGAGATGGCAGAGTAATGCATATGAGTTATGAACCTCAAGAATTAAGAGATTTAATTTTTTGTCAGGTTAGTTTCTTAATATTACTTATTAATCTTAACTTATCAATGTAGAATTATACCACACACAGAGACAGATTTAATGATATAATGTATTTAATACTACGATTATTTTAGATATATCAACATCAAATAACTGCAGTACAATCTTTAGCAAAATGTATGGGGTGGCAACTTCTAGGTAATAGTTCTCATCTCGGTTTAGGTGCAGTTGAACCTTTAGGAAATGCAAGTAGTTGTATTTTAGCTTCGCCAATCGGTGACAGGTAATTTATAATTTATATATTCATGAAATTATTTCTAATAACAATAGTTATGTGGTTCGTACTTGTTAATTTCAGAATGATAGCTGTAAGATGTGAACCCCAAACAGGAGTACAAGTGGCAATTGCACATTCTCCTAGAAAAGATTTCTTTCCGGGACAATTAGTACGAGAAAGGAAATGGGAAAATTTAGGTGGTTCTTTTAAAGAAGTTAGATGGGATAAGATGGAAGGAAAAAATTTTTTGAATAAGATGGAATTGCTCATGGCTTCCTTAACAAGTAGTTCATAGACGTGTAATATAAAAAAGGACTCATTTGTAGTTCTACACTTCACAGGGTGCAAAATATACAGATCATATTATTTTAAGCAATTGTACAAAGTATTATACTTCTTAGGTTTCGATGCAAAATATTCCTATTTCTGAAAATCCAAGATAATGTTAATAATTGAAAAGTTTTTAAAAGCAGCTTTTCTCGAGCAATTGCAGTGGTGTAACATATTTTAAATTTCAGTATACTTATTTTTTAATGTTGATACAGTGAACTTTTTATTAAACAGACTTTATAAGATAATATTGAATATCAACTTGTTATATTTTTTATGTATGATGTAAAAAAGAATAGAGAATTCTGAGAGTGCTGCTCTTCAAAAAGTATAGTACTTATAAAGTCAATATTTTTGTAATACTTAATTTTACGATATTGAGATAGAGATTCTACCAAATTCTTATTAATCTAAGTATACTCTCCTATACTTAGTTCGTATGTAAAAAGTTATTATAGACGTTATATATTAAAAAGTTATTCATTTATGTATTGAAGCATCCAAGGATTATAGTTGTGATATTAATAGTCAAAAAGTACGCATTGCAATTTGATCTCTAACTTCTGAATGACAAAGAGTAATATTGAATATGCAGTGGCAAATGGTTTTTATACAATAAATTGATTTGTTATTTTATTAATTAAAAAAATGAGCATAACAGTGATGTTAATTTTTTTCTTTTCTTTTTTTTCTTTGGTTTTTCTTTTTTCTTTTTTTCTTTTTTCTTTTTTGGAAGATAGTGGTATACAAAAAATATCTTAATATTTTTATGAATTTTATGTACATTACACATTTACTTGATTTCCGAGATGATGGTAAAAAATAGATCAATGCACCTGTGATTGTACAAAAATGGTTTTTATTTGAATCACACAATATATGAAATGTAATATGAGTGGGGTTAATAAACTACTGAGATATGACATGTCGTAAATGCATGAGGATGCGAGATATAATATGATCCAGTAATAATCTAAATTGCATTTTTAACAAATTATCTTATGTATAAAATCAATGAACAATTCCTTATTTATATCGCGTCTTTTGTATACCATATTCAAGTAATAGTTTGTTTTTAAACTTTTGCATAATATAATCAGTGTCATTATATCATACATATTAAATACACAAACATACATTCATACAACCACACACATTATAGATATTAGTTTTCTTGAATGAATATGCTGTACTCTATCACATATAACTAGATTTTAAATTAAAACATTGTCTTTGCTCTACTGCAGTTTGAACAAGAACTACAGCATTATCATTGGATTAAGGGACGGACTAGCAATTTTACCAAAAAACTTAATGCTAGAGCGTACCAAGTAAAATAGATCGGATTATCTAAAATACGTCTTAAAACAGAAATTTTTGAAGAATTCAATGAAGTAGTGTATTTACAATTTGATTGTGGTTCTCGATGCTTTCATTTATTTTTAATCATTTTCTTTTCGTGTATCTAATGAGTAACTAGAGATCATAGAATTAACTTTTACTCCATATCCATTCCTCTCATTTACTTGTACTCATTTTTGTAAACAGCCGTGTTTGTTAGTTATTTATTAAGAAATCAAATGTATCATATCCAGACTTTTATTCTTATAAAAAATGAAATATTTGTTCTTTACATCTATATCTTATTAGCCAAGTGCTCCTTACATAAGCTCTTAATTTTTTATAAAGCACTGAGCTATATTCCGCATCTTTCCACCTGCGACCTTAAAGGCAAAAGCCGCATTAATAACTAATACAATGTAAGCAGTTGAAAGACTGATTGCATAAAATTGTTGTACATTTAATAGGGTCATGCAGGAGACAAACAAATGTGATCCTACGACCCATACAATTTGTCCCCATTTTTGCTTATCAATAGCAGCAAAGAAAATAACACCCCAGAATGTATGAAGTAAAATGAAGCACAAAGTGGTGGATGCTGATACGATGAAGAAGTATTCTGTACCATGTCTGATACCCATGGTTCCAGGACCAACTGCATCTGCTAACACATTGACCAGAGCAAAAGCTCCACTCATAAAACCGAAACCTAGGCCACAAACATATGCAAATATATGTCTGCTATCAGCTACATGTGTTGTGGTTACTTTTTCTAAACCTCTTTCAGCTTTACGTAATACCCAGTATAAAAGGTACCTAACAATTTATAAAATCAATTAGTATCACGATTGTGTGAAAAAATAAAAAATATGCGAAAACGAGATAAAAAAAAAGAAAGAAAGAAAAAATAGAAATAAACAATGAATCTTTTAATGTCTTATTACCTGAAAGTTTCTTGGAATAATACAGAAAATACTAATCCAAATGCAAGATGATTTTGAAGTGGAACAACAGCATACCAAAGCACAGATGATAATAGTAATGAAATAAGCCAGAAAAAGGCACTGGCAATTAATATGATTATTTTTATTGGATCATTAGCTATAGTAAATGTGAACATGGCTAATGGAGGTCCAAAAGCCAAGAAAGCACAACCAAAAAAATCCATAACCGTCATCTTTATGATGAATGCTTAATCGTGTGCTTATTCTTTGTCAATTGACCTTTCTCCAAATGCTAACTGCTTCTAACCCTACACAGCCTTATTATGGCTAGGATGTCTACTTTTTGTGGGTGCATTTATTGCGTTACTACAAACACAATTTTTAAGTTTGACATTTCAGAATATACTTAAAAGGTTAAGTATGACCTTGCTCAACAATCTTTAGAAAACGCGCTACTGATTAATGGAAGGAACTTTGAATGAGGTACATCGAGATAAACCTGCACTGCAATCGATAGCTTATCGATATTTTTTAATTTGTAATGATGAACGTCATTCTCGATTCTCTCAAACTTATTAATTATTTTTAACGAGAAGTAAATTTACATAGATTTTAACCGATCTATATATTATTTTAAATTATTATTAAACGTTTTTATTAAATGTGTAAAAAAAATTCTTAATTAATTAAAAAAACATTCTTAATTAATATGACCAAATAATTTTGCACTCATTTAAAAATATATCTGTATAAATATAAAGATTGAATCTTATAAAATGTGTGTCACAGAAATATACAAAAAAAATATAAATAATAAGAATAATTACAATGTACTTAAAATTATATAAAATATTTTGAATTTACCGCCTTAAAATTTAACCAATCGAAACAAATCGCTAATGCGCATATACAAATTTTCTTTTTATCAATATAACCTAATAATGTACTGGATCTATTTTTATTTAACCGGTATTAAAAGAGGTTATACAAAGTTTATATAAAATATTTGATTTTTTTATCTTAATGTAAACATTTGTATGATATATAAATCAATATTAACAAAAATTTATTTTTTACTTCCATACACAAAACATATTAATACTTTTTCAATATGGTATCGTTTTTAACTGATGTGTTAATTACAGCAGGTAACTTTCAAAGTTTTCTCGTATGATAATAAAGAAACAACTTTAATTGAATATTTCTATTATTTTTAATGTTTCTTTTTTCTTTTCTTTTTATATAAATAGGACAAGTTGAAAAGCTTAATCTTCGAGAAAAAATTTCTCAAATACAGGAGGATATAGTAAAGCTAAAATATGATGTCAAAGATTTCATGGATGATAATTATATTGAATTTTCATCAAAACTGACAAAAAATCAACGTTTAGTTTCTAAAGCTGAAATACTTACAAAAGAAATGAACGATTTACAAAAAAGAATAGATGATCAGGTAGATTTATGACTACAGAATAGGCAATTAAACGTATGTTGTTTTAAGTGATATATAATATTTTTAGATCAAAGTAGAATTATCTGGGTCCATAAAGGAATTAAAGAATCTTTCACAATCGTTGAAAGAATCAAACCTTTGTCTTCACTTATCTAACCAATTATTATCTCTAGACGAATGCATTAAATTGATAAAACAATATCAAGATGAACAGCGATACGTTGATACTGCTAAAAGCTTATGCATAATGCAGAATTTATTGGATAATCCTGAAAGTGATTTACAAGATCTTGATATTTATAATGCAATTAAAGAGGAATATAAAAATTTACATGATTCATTTTTATCTCATGCTTCTTTGCTTTGGGACGAGCGTATTTGTTGGACTGGTTTAGAAAATAATAAGAATGAAACAGTCGTTACACTTCATATTAGGGATAAACTTGAAAACATAGAAGATTTAATTCGTGGTTTGCATTACGTCAACAAACTTTCTGATCATTTGGATCAATTTTCAAAAACAATAATGAGTTATTTAATTCAACCAATTATCAATGAGCATTGCTCAGTTTTTGTTTCAAAAGAAAATATATTCACCATTGAATATATTGATAGAAAACAAATACCAGTTTATAAAAGTGTCCTGCATAATTTAAAATTATTATTTAGATATCTTCATGAACATTTTAATGTTATAATAGATGATAATCAGACCTTACTTATGAAAATGCAACCGCATATGTTAGAACAATTAGCAGAAAGTCTTACAATTAATTGCATTGCTAGAACTATTCCTAGTTCTAGCACAGAATTAAAAAATTTTGAACCAGTACTTGAAGAAACTAATAACTTTCAAAGTTATTTAATAGAAATAGGTAAAAAAAAGTTCTCTTCTCAAGTTTATATGAATATAATATTAATATAATTATTTAAATGATAATAACTTTGTAGGATTTATCACAGAAAAAAACTTATTCTTGAAAGAATATACTGATAATATTGACAAACTTTTTATTGATAAAATATGTCAAGATTTAATGGTAAAAGCAAAAAATATTATCAAGAAAGATCTTCATGATTCAATTAAACATATACCAGAGGTAAATTTCACTAAAACTTTAATGATTCGTATGTACTAAAATTGTTGCTATTAATTCTTAGACCCCATTAAAATTTCCAAATGATGAATTAGAAAGTGAGGGTGTATCAATTCACAGATACTTAAATGAATCTTCTTTTCAACTACCATCTTGTCAAATAAGGTATTTAATGTTACAAATTTTCATTAAATTGTCAATTAATTTGTCATTTATAATTAATTCGAAAAGAATCTTTTTATAGCAAAAGTGCGAAAGAAATACTAGACCTTGCAAGAAGTATTTTGGATGAGGCCTGTGACAGTTCAGATGCTTCTGCAGTCAAACTGTTTTATACATGTAGAAATGTATTTGAAATGTATGCAGGTCTAGTACCTGAACATCACAAAAAATTTTTGGAAACAATACCACAACAAGTCGGTAAGAATTGGTCAAATGAAAAGGATTCCAGTACATGACAAATAAATTAGAATGTATCTATTGGTCACTAGACATTACAATTGTTCTTAGCTCTATTCCACAACAACTGTATGTATCTCGCACACCACCTACTAACATTGGCACATGAATACAGGGATAAATTGCCGAGATCATTGCAACAGCTTAACTTAACGTTTACTGATCAAACACTGATATTACGCAATGTCGGTTCTGAATGTTTCCTAGAGCACATGAGATACCAGAGAGATATTATTATAGATATCCTCAAAGAGTCAGGTCAGTAGTAGTCAACTTCAATGTAAATAATATAATTTTTAAAGACAACTTATAACAATCGAAATTGTGAATATAACTAGGTTTAGCAGCGCTAGGTCAAGTTTCTGAATTACCTTCGTCAACTGAACGTGCATTGAGACAATGTATCAGACAATTAGAATTGTTGAAGACCGTCTGGTTAGATGTTCTACCTGTCAATATTTATTGCAGAGCTGTAGGCAAGTCTTAATTTCTTTTTTATTTCATTTGCTAATATTATATATAATTATTATAAATTTAAAAGCTTAACTTACCTCGCATTTTCGCTGATATTTCTGACAGGATGCATCGTTAATTCTATGGTTGAAGATTTAATAATAAGAGTTACATCCGTTGAAGATATACCTGCTGATATAGCTTCTGATTTAGTGATAATGTTTAATACAGTAACAACACGAACGCCAATGATATTTCCAGTAAGTCGAGTGATCAAATTTAAATTCTAGGATTCAAAAATAATAAAGATAATAATTTTCATTCGAATTTATTTTATTAACTTGTTTATTATACCACAATACTGTTAAGTAGTCATGTGTGATTCTGCGATCAAAGAGTTGATATAGATAGAGTTGTTCCATCAACTTGTTCCTGTAAAAGTGAAATTATAAGAACATATGCGGGGGCTGATTATGTATAAATTTGACAAGAACACTTTTTTTTTACTTTTAGGAATCTGAGGAGATAGCACAGTATGCACGAAAATGGAAAAAATTCTTAGAACTTATTAAAGTCCTTGGTGCATCATTGAAAGAGATCGAGATTAGATGGGCAAGTGGGAAAGGTCCTCTTGCAAAAGAATTTACAGCTATTCAAGTAAAACAACTTATTAGAGCATTATTTCAAAATACAGAAAGAAGATCAGTTCTCTTAGCTTCTATTAAATAATACAATACTGTATTGATATGTTATTAATAATCAGTGGAGAAAGAAAATTTATTTATATTTTATGCATTTCATCTCACTTAACAATTTTTTCTTTTTTAATACTTTCCTTCATCCGAGACTTTTTTTTATAATTTGATATGTATATTTTTTGTTTTCCTACATTTATACATAGCGATGGGATTAGAAACACTTCAAAGCGCTTCGAATGTGTATGTATATATATATATATATATATATATATATATATATATATATATATACATACATATATATATATATATATATATACACACACAAAATTCGAAATTTAATGTTGTTATATAGGTCTTGATGAAGTCTTCATACATCTCAAGTTTTGTTTTATCATTTTCGTTATTCTAATTCGATCTTTGTCTCTTTCTATGTGCAATATGTCGGGAACCGTTCATTTTTTTTACTTATTCAGTAATAAGATTTTATTTAAGATATATTTTAATCTACTTTCTTTGATAAAAATTGTATTTCCTGACTCAGAAAAAGGAATCAACATTCGTGTTATTTACTGTAAACTATAAAATAACTTAAAGAAATGTACTTATTCAAACTTTCCGAACTTGGTCTAATATTTTATATCAATGATATTGTTTGAATAAAAGTAATCAAACAGTATGAAAGATATTGAATACTTATAATGCTTCCAAAACTTACTGATATTTTTTAAACCTTTAAGCTTTGAATCATTTTCGAAGTGATTCGAATTTGTTGTCATATATATGACATAAATTCAAAGCAATTCGAAGTGTTTCAGATTCCATCACTAGTTATATACGTATATTCTTTGAATTTCATATTACGTGGCTAACTTTCATATGATTAATTTCACATATATGAATATAAATTCTTGACGTCTACAATACTTTTTCTGTCTTTCACGTTGTAATAAATCCTTGTAAGCTAATAATATAATCTTGTGTAAGAATATTTTTATATGTAATAATAAAAACTAATTGATCAAACAAGGCATTGAATGTAAATTAATGGTGTTGGTTTGTATAATATTATAGTAAGAGAGAGCGAGAAAGAGAAAGAGAAAGAGAGAGAGAGAGAGAAAGAGAAAGCGCGCGAATATAATGATATAAAAAAAAAGGTAAAATTGTAACAAGAATTTCCAAAAATAGTATTTTTCATACAAAATGTTTTTCAGTGAAAAAAATATACAGCAAGTTAAAAATTGCATAACATATTACTATCAATAGTTTTCAATCTTCATCAAGAATATACTCTTATATGAATTGTATTTCAAATATCAAATTATTCTGTTTTAAGTAATTAATTAAACCTATATATATGTGTTTATTACGTGTGCGTGCAATCTCAATTTTATACATATTCATAAATAAATCTACACACATATAACTACCAATACGCAAGCTGCCTCCTACAATTTAAGTATAAACAAAATGAAATCAAATAAAAATGAGCATATATATATATATAAGAATGTCAATTTGTTAAAAACTAATAACATTATGTTGTTGTAAAAATAAAATATAAATAATTTTTTTATCTAAAATACTTACTGGTTTCTTTTTTTTTTTTTGTATTACATATTTTATATTTAGAAAAACAGAAAAATAATTTAAGAGAAGTAAAATATAAGATTAAGCATTTTTATGTAATGTTCGCTATGGATAAGAAAAAAAATATATATTGTTTACGTTTTGCTTAAAGGAAGTTATTATAACATAACTCGAATCTTTGATATATTAAATATTCTTGAAATTTTTGATTTCATTCAATTTCAACAATACCTATACTGACAGCATCGAATTTTCAAATGGAATATTTTGTAACTTGTAATCAGAAATATATATATATATAGAGAGAGAGAGAGAGAAAGAGAGAGAGAGAGAGTGAGAGAGTGAAAGAGAGAGTACGAGGGTCATGTAACTGACCAAACTTTGAGATAGATTTATACTCATATTTATAATTCAAAGGCACTTGCGATATCTGAATTTGATAAAGATTCAGACTTCATTTTGAAATTTTCCTTAGAAAGGAACTAAAGGGAAAACAACGAGAGAAGATTTTCATTGGATATAGACACTGAGAGAGTAATCAGGCAGACAGGCAGACAGGCAGGCAGGGTGGCGGGCAGTAGTGAGCGCAAATCATTTAATACGTTTCCAATTCCAAGTCATGTACAGTCGAGGTAAAACATTACCGTAATTTTATCATTTTATCTTTCAGAGTCCGAAAAAAATAGAAGGAGACGCTCATAGATGCTTCCAAATGCAGGACTGTTTATGCACATATATTGCTAGAAAGAAGCATAGAGTATAGCCTGCGATATCGTCTCACAATCTCGTAGTTTTGATTGCACACACTATCTGTGTATCAAAATTTTTTGGGGCCAGGACTATTTCTTTGTGCATTAGCACGATAGGCCATATACGAGCAGCAGTTTGCATTTGGTTGTATTGCGCATAGGTTTTTTTTTTTTTTTTCCCTTTTGGACCTATATAAAAACGTTTCTACACGCACGATCATAAGCAAGATTTTAACTAGATATATGAAGACTGTACTCAGAATTACCATCAATATACTGGAAAACGAGAGTTTGGAAAGACTGTATTCACGCAGAGACGCGGTATCTAATTATACAAAATTCATGGTTACTATAACAAGCTTAATTTATCTCCATTCTTCACTACCTTCAGGCAAGTAGAAAAAATGCAAATATGTTTCTAAACTTGCATAAGTACCATGGATGTAACTATTAAACAAATTTAATCTATGACCCATGGTGTATGTAAAAAATGTACCTTATAAAATATAAAGAAATTGGGCATATTTTGCCAAGAGATAAATTGGAATTCACAAATAATTATAACTCTTATGAGTTAAGGCTCTAAATGCCGACAGATAGAGTCTTATCTTTCTCCCCGTTTCATATCGAGCATAGAACTTTTACAGAATCTTATGAACTGTTAATTAAGAAAAGTGGCAACGACCACAATCTGTCACATCAGATCATATAATGCAAATATATTTTGCAGCATAAACTGCAGTGGTCGTTCTTGTTTATATACACGTCGCTGCGTAGATTGGATAGAAATGTAGTCGTCGAGGCGGGTGGGTGATTGGCCCGCAGTTCAGATTGGCAACGCAGCGTAGTTCTTTTATGTGCATTCACGTAGATGACGATGACTGTGAACATGGAAGTGCAAAACAGGATGTCACATTATTTTCGCCATTTATGGCGTATGACTCCCACTGATTAAGAGTCTTTAGTCTCTCGATATATATAGATATATATAGATATTTATATATATATATATATGTATATATGCATGCAATAACTTAATTTTTCAGAGCTAGCGATCAGAGAGCCTCTTCCTCATGCATTTATGCTTTCGATCATGTATGCTCACTTCATCAAAATTTAATTAAAAATTTACTAACATTTGACAATGAGTTTGCGCAAATAAAAACTATAGTAGAAAAGGATTTAAAAATTTCGATTTTTGTTATAATTATCTACATTACAATTTTGCACGAATCCGAGTAAAATAATTTTTTTCAAGAGAAAGAGAAAGAGAGAGAAAAAAAAGAAAGAAAAAAAAAGAAGAAAAGAAAAATAGAGTATAAAATATGTTGTCACATCATAAATATACAAAAACAAAATAAAATCATTTAAAATAGATTTTTCATAATGCCTATTATGAATATATCTTTTTGTTAATGATTACAGATTCTTGATTTACACGTTGATCTATCTATTATTTACCTATAGTAAAACTTTTGAAATAATTACGAAGTATTGAAAAGTCTAAAGTCGACTGTACCTGAAAGATATGCAGATGTGACATTGTAAATTTGCAATTTACTTATGGCAACATTTGCTATAAATCTTAATATCGAAAGGAATTCACCATATATATATATATTCCCTTCCCAATATTTAAATTAAACATTATTGAACTCGTGCAGATGATAATGATTCAACTTAAAATCATTTTACGAAGACTGGGTATCATTAGTACCTGCCACGGCCAGCCGGAGAGCGGCTTCGGTACCTCGATGTGCTGGTATCCTTGCCAGTGTAGTATTCCATGCCAGTGTCTCCGCTAGTAGCACCGTAGGCATCTTGCATATATCCATCTCGAGTAACATACCCACCGGTACGACTGGACATATAATCTTCTCCATAGCGTCCTCTACCTCTACTTCCACCACCCCTGCCTGCATAATAGCTGCCCCCATAATCTCCATATGTACTGCCTCCTCTGTAACCCATACTAGCACCACCCCGAGAACCGAAATCCCTACCAGTAGTACCACGAACACCTCTGAATCCTATACCACCCCTACCTCCGCCACGACCTCTACCACGTGAAATTTCCACTTTTAACTTGACACCCATTATTTCTGTGCCATTCATACTATTGCATGCCAATTCTGCTTCATTCATATTCAGAAATTCGATGAAGGCAAAGCCTGGAGGATTGAAGGCCACCCAAACCTTGTTAAGCTTGCCATATTTTTCAAACTCCATCTGTAGATCTTCTTTTTTGATGCTCTCATTGAGTCCACCAACGTAGACACGAGTATAGCCCTCCGGAGTCATTTTATATCTAAAAAAGTTATTTTGTAGCATGGAAGAAATGAGAAGACTTTATAAATTTCATTCGTTCAAAATCAATATAACTCAAACAGACCATATATATATTTGTTAAAATTTCATTGTATAGCTCATGTATTATTCAATTATGATTCATTTCATTGACCTTAAGTAAAAAAAACTATGAAGACAATTATTTTAGTTAATATATACTATCTAATTACCTTCAAACATGCAACAAATGCAAATAAATATGTATCTATAAAGAGGCAATCAATATCAAGCATAATATTTACTGTACAACGAGTAATACACGTTTTACACAAATTGATAATTTCTTTTCTTTTTTTTCTTTTTTTTTTTTTTTTTTTTTTTTTCTATCCAAGTACACGAAGGATAATCATTATATGCAACGCGTCCATTGAAGAACAACCGAAGGAAAACAAAGACTTTGATAAAGTACCTTTGTATGTCAAAAAAAATGTTGTGATAACCTATCTTAACATATTATCGTAATTCTATTTAAAAAGGATTTCGAAATATATAATATAATGCAAGATATTAAAATAAGACTGGAAAATAAAACAAATATGTACATGAGTCGGAATACATGACTTTACGCGCCAATAATTTTGAAGTTTATTTTCCCGCTGTATCAATAAAGTACTTACCCTTTTCACTTTCTTCTTAATTTATCTTGATAAAACACGATATTAAACGACGATTTTATTATTATATAAATCACTGTATCAAGAAATATACAGGTACGGCGGCAGAATGATGCACACGACGGAATCAATAGAAGCGAATCAGTAGGGGTCCACAGTGCACAGAAACTATATCCGACGCCTCTGCGTCTCCAACCCAGACGCCCAAAATTTTTACAAATGGTTACCGATCAGTTTGTATTTGCTACCGTTTATACGTTAAATATAATAACCCTATAAAATTATCTAAATTCTCTTATTATTCGAAATAATAATTATGTTTTATTTATTTATTAATGCATCTCTTTTTATTTTAAGAAAATTATAACATTTTATTACATTTTTATTGTACTTATTTAATTCAAGTGATATTAACAAGTTGTACTAGAAGCCATTTCTAGTTGCAATAGAAGTGCTATCTATCAGAAAATTTCGAAACTGTTCAATAGTCATTTGTATATATTTATTATTTATATATTTTTATTAATATTTAATAAATTGCATACATACATATATATAACATATATATATATATATATATATATATGTTATACACGATAATTTAAATTATTCAAAGCCTTCATTATCATTAATAAAGTATATAAACGAAATTATACTAATATTTCATTTAATATAAAATTACAAAATGTTTAATGATTTTTCTTTTGTTACTTTTTAATTATGTATTTACATAATTATTCAGACAAAGAAAATATGGTAGCCTTTATGTCGTCAAGAAAGAACAAAAGGGTCTGAGTCCTATAATGAATTACGTTTATCCCTAGATTCCAATCGGGTTTTCTTATACGTTGATTACTATACTTTTAGTAACATTTTTTTCTATATTTTATATTTAATAATTTTTAGATACATTTTGTTGTAAAAAAATGTACGTATCATGCTTTTTATATAGAATTAAAATGTTTACTTTAAATGCTTTTATAAAAACAAAATCTTTCGTAGAAGAATGGAGATTCATTGTATCATCCAATCAAGGTCGATTTGTGTTACTCCATTCATAGTAATTGGTTGTACTATGTAGTCATACTATCATTGGATAATATATGAAGAAATATTAATTTTTGTGAAATTGTGAAATTACGAATTAAAGAACTTAATATCGAAAGAAATTTCCACTGATATTTTAATAATAATTACATATTTTTTCTTGTTGATTCAAAAATTTGATAACCATGAATTTTATATGGTATAGATTTGAACATAATAAAACGTATTGTTCATTTATTATGTTTATGTGTAATTAATTCAAATATTTTTTATATTATATTACCAAGGTATTTAACGTTATAATAATATTATGTTATAATATTTTTCATATACTAATTAAATATGTGTCCAATTTCAGTCGTAACTTCAAATATGTAAACAACAATGGCGTTTTCTGTGAACATTTCGGTAGAAGCACCGATAGAAAATCAAATTCAAGAAATCACTTATGATGGGCAAGAAATTTATCAAGCGTACGTTATAAATTTATAAATTATATCTATGTGTAAAATAATATTTTACTAATGATGTTGAATGCTGTTATAAAATCTAAATGTTTACGTTAACCTTAACTCGTCTAACTTTAATATTACAGACCTCTTACATTGTCGGAAAATTTGGCAAAAATTGCCCAAAAGATAGATTTTAGTAAGACTAATGGAGAGGAAATTAAAAAAGAACCACCTGAGAATGGAGATAAAAGTGAAGAGGACGCAAAAGATCCAGCATCTTTTCAATCTTCATTGTGGCCATGGGATAGTGTTAGAAGCAAATTGAGGTATTCTTTCTATAATAAAAAATAATAGATAATTCTATTTCAATGAATTTATCTTTTTAGGAATGCGCTAACAGAGGTATGTGTATTAGCAGATGTCCTTACAATAGCAAAAGAAAAACATTATTTAGTTTTGGATCCTGTACCTCAAGAATCAGTTGAAGTAAAACCTATGGTACAAGTATATGCTAGAAAAAAAGCATTAGCAGGTGCTGCTTCGGTTCTCATGACGGGAGCAGAAAGACTACGAAATAGTCAAAATGAATTAGCTAGGAATCGTAATACACCAGATTTTCACATTGAATTGTTAAGATTAAGACAAAATTGGCGCTTAAAGAAAGTATCCAATTCTATAATTGGAGATCTTAGTTATAGAACAGGTAATTTCTTTGCTGTTTTACTTTTAACTATAATTATTTTTCAACATATTATTTTTCTGACAAAAATTAATTGCAGCTGGCTCTAAGTATACTCAAACTGGTATGTTTGAAGTAACAAAAGCGGAAGAAGAAGAAAAACCAAATGGTAGTCCTCCTGCTTCACCTAATTCTAGTAGTAATACAACAGGACAATCTCATGGTCCATCCAATTCAAAAGCATCTGCATTGCGTGTTACTATACCTAGTGAATTACAAGGAGTAGCTTATATTGAAGTATTATGTCAGAAAGGTGGATAATATTAATTTAATATTTTCTAATAATTTTCTTTCTTTTTTGGTTTTTTTCTGTATGATTTTGATTATATTCGTTTAGAAAATCATCATTATGTATTTTAGATCAGGAAGACCTGTGTAGTGCTAACATTAGTTTACTCAATAGTAGTGCGCATAGTTCCAATGCAGATATGCATTGGCAACAGAAGTTAGAAGCAGCCCAAAATGTTTTATTCTGTAAAGAACTATTTAGTCAATTGGCAAGAGAGGCTGTACATTTACGTGCGCCAATTCCGCATATGGTTGTTGGGAATCAAATTATGGCTACTGTAACTATTATATTCTTTACAATTATTTAATTACAAAGTCGATTATGAAATGTATAAAATTTACTTTTGCTTCAGGTGCTTCCAGGAATTCAACTGATCATAGGTTTGTGTCATAGTACTGGGAATGACAAAAAGCCAACCGCCCCTCCACCTCACAAAACTGATCACGATCATGTATTAGAACATTCCTTGCATCAGTTGCTACGTGAAGTACATCATAAAAATACTCATCATCCATTTCCTCATCCTTCATCGGGTCCTCTTGGACCTAGTAAACGCCGATGTTTGGCTGGTCCAACAGCGGCAGATAGATATGAACTTCTAGAAATGTCAAAGAGTCAAACATTACTAGAACAAATCATTCAACAAGCTCAACACTTTTTCATGAGATTACGTACTGAATATGTTCTGGACACAATAGCAAAAGAAGTTAAGGATCCTTTAATTGTATCTCATTGGATGGCATTAAATTCCCCTACGCAGTCATGTGTCAAAATTAATATATTAACACACGGATACGACAGTTTATATCGTACTTCGTTGATCGTTCATGTAGGAGAAAAATCACTTAAATGTGTCTGTAGAGATGGCAGAGTAATGCATATGAGTTATGAACCTCAAGAATTAAGAGATTTAATTTTTTGTCAGGTTAGTTTCTTAATATTACTTATTAATCTTAACTTATCAATGTAGAATTATACCACACACAGAGACAGATTTAATGATATAATGTATTTAATACTACGATTATTTTAGATATATCAACATCAAATAACTGCAGTACAATCTTTAGCAAAATGTATGGGGTGGCAACTTCTAGGTAATAGTTCTCATCTCGGTTTAGGTGCAGTTGAACCTTTAGGAAATGCAAGTAGTTGTATTTTAGCTTCGCCAATCGGTGACAGGTAATTTATAATTTATATATTCATGAAATTATTTCTAATAACAATAGTTATGTGGTTCGTACTTGTTAATTTCAGAATGATAGCTGTAAGATGTGAACCCCAAACAGGAGTACAAGTGGCAATTGCACATTCTCCTAGAAAAGATTTCTTTCCGGGACAATTAGTACGAGAAAGGAAATGGGAAAATTTAGGTGGTTCTTTTAAAGAAGTTAGATGGGATAAGATGGAAGGAAAAAATTTTTTGAATAAGATGGAATTGCTCATGGCTTCCTTAACAAGTAGTTCATAGACGTGTAATATAAAAAAGGACTCATTTGTAGTTCTACACTTCACAGGGTGCAAAATATACAGATCATATTATTTTAAGCAATTGTACAAAGTATTATACTTCTTAGGTTTCGATGCAAAATATTCCTATTTCTGAAAATCCAAGATAATGTTAATAATTGAAAAGTTTTTAAAAGCAGCTTCTCTCGAGCAATTGCAGTGGTGTAACATATTTTAAATTTCAGTATACTTATTTTTTAATGTTGATACAATGAACTTTTTATTAAACAGACTTTATAAGATAATATTGAATATCAACTTGTTATATTTTTTATGTATGATGTAAAAAAGAATAGAGAATTCTGAGAGTGCTGCTCTTCAAAAAGTATAGTACTTATAAAGTCAATATTTTTGTAATACTTAATTTTACGATATTGAGATAGAGATTCTACCAAATTCTTATTAATCTAAGTATACTCTCCTATACTTAGTTCGTATGTAAAAAGTTATTATAGACGTTATATATTAAAAAGTTATTCATTTATGTATTGAAGCATCCAAGGATTATAGTTGTGATATTAATAGTCAAAAAGTACGCATTGCAATTTGATCTCTAACTTCTGAATGACAAAGAGTAATATTGAATATGCAGTGGCAAATGGTTTTTATACAATAAATTGATTTGTTATTTTATTAATTAAAAAAATGAGCATAACAGTGATGTTAATTTTTTTCTTTTCTTTTTTTTCTTTGGTTTTTCTTTTTTCTTTTTTTCTTTTTTCTTTTTTGGAAGATAGTGGTATACAAAAAATATCTTAATATTTTTATGAATTTTATGTACATTACACATTTACTTGATTTCCGAGATGATGGTAAAAAATAGATCAATGCACCTGCGATTGTACAAAAATGGTTTTTATTTGAATCACACAATATATGAAATGTAATATGAGTGGGGTTAATAAACTACTGAGATATGACATGTCGTAAATGAATTAGGATGCGAAATATAACATGATCCAGTAATAATCTAAATTCCATTTTTAACAAATTATCTTATATATAAAATCAATGAACAATTCCTTATTTATATCGCGTCTTTTGTATATCATATTCAAGTAATAGTTTTTTTAAACAGATTGCAAACCTTTGCAATCTGTATCATTATATCATACATATTAAATACACAAACATACATTCATACAATCATACACATTATAGATATTAATTTTCTTGAATGAATATGCTGTACACTATGTCATATAACTAGATTTTAAATTAAAGCATTGTCTTTGCTCTACTGTAGTTTGAACAATAACTACAGCATTATCATTTGTCTCAATGGATTAAGGGACGGACTAGCAATTTTACCAAAAAACTTAATGCTAGAGCGTACCAAGTAAAATAGATCCGATTATCTAAAATAGTTCTTACAACAGAAATTTTTAAAGAATTTAATGTAGTAGTGTATTTACAATTTGGCTGTGAATTTCGATGCTTTTTTTTGAGTATCTAATAAGTAACTAGAGATCATAGAATTAACTTTTACTCCTTATCCATTCCTCTCATTTACTTGTACTCATTTTTGTAAACAGCCGTGTTTGTTAGTTATTTATTAAGAAATCAAATGTATCATATCCAGACTTTTATTCTTATAAAAAATGAAATATTTGTTCTTTACATCTATATCTTATTAGCCAAGTGCTCCTTACATAAGCTCTTAATTTTTTATAAAGCACTGAGCTATATTCCGCATCTTTCCACCTGCGACCTTAAAGGCAAAAGCCGCATTAATAACTAATACAATGTAAGCAGTTGAAAGACTGATTGCATAAAATTGTTGTACATTTAATAGGGTCATGCAGGAGACAAACAAATGTGATCCTACGACCCATACAATTTGTCCCCATTTTTGCTTATCAATAGCAGCAAAGAAAATAACACCCCAGAATGTATGAAGTAAAATGAAGCACAAAGTGGTGGATGCTGATACGATGAAGAAGTATTCTGTACCATGTCTGATACCCATGGTTCCAGGACCAACTGCATCTGCTAACACATTGACCAGAGCAAAAGCTCCACTCATAAAACCGAAACCTAGGCCACAAACATATGCAAATATATGTCTGCTATCAGCTACATGTGTTGTGGTTACTTTTTCTAAACCTCTTTCAGCTTTACGTAATACCCAGTATAAAAGGTACCTAACAATTTATAAAATCAATTAGTATCACGATTGTGTGAAAAAATAAAAAATATGCGAAAACGAGATAAAAAAAAAAGAAGAAAGAAAAAATAAAAATAAACAATGAATCTTTTAATGTCTTATTACCTGAAAGCTTCTTGGAATAATACAGAAAATACTAATCCAAATGCAAGATGATTTTGAAGTGGAACAACAGCATACCAAAGCACAGATGATAAAAGTAATGAAATAAGCCAGAAAAAGGCACTGGCAATTAATATGATAATTTTTATTGGATCATTAGCTATAGTAAATGTGAACATGGCTAATGGAGGTCCAAAAGCCAAGAAAGCACAACCAAAAAAATCCATAACCGTCATCTTTATGATGAATGCTTAATCGTGTGCTTATTTTTTGTCAATTGACCTTTCTCCAAATGCTAACTGCTTCTAACCCTACACAGCCTTATTATGGCTCGGATGTCTACTTTTTGCGGGCGCATTTATTGCGTTACTACAAACACAATTTGTTAATTTGACATTTCATTATATACTTTTAAGGTTAAGTATGACCAACAATCTCTAGAAATCGTGCTACTGATAAATGGAAGCAACTTTGTATGAGTTGCATCGATATAAGCCTACACTACAATCGATAGCTTATCGATATTTTTTAATTTGTAAGGTCGAACGTCATTCTCGATTCTCTAAAACTTATTAATTATTTTTAATGAGAAGTAAAATTATATAGATTTCACTCGATCTATATATTATTTTAAATTATTAATCGCTTTTATTAAATGCTTAGAGAAAGATTTCAAAAATTGAGCCAAAACGAGCCAACGCTAGTTATTATTTCTTTTGGCTTTATAACGTTGTCAACATTAACGCTATGAAGATTGGCGTGAAAAGTGAATGATTCTGATTGGCTTTTAAGAACTGTTTACGTTAAACTGATAGTTTGAAAAGTTATTCAGACAGCGAGTGTCATTCGCTTGCAAAGTGTTTTTATTTAATTGATTAGATTTTTTTTTATGATGGTGCGATATGCAGCTCTTAAAGGATTATACGAGTTGGAAAAGACAATTGGTAGCGGGGGTTTTGCAAAAGTTAAACTTGGTATTCATGTTGCAACTGGAGAAAAAGTTGCTATCAAAATCATGGATAAGACAGCCTTGGGCGTAAGGGATTATTTAAATTTTATTGGGATTTATGTAACAATAGGGAAGAAAAAATTTGAATATGTAAAAATTTTAAATTTTTAGGATGATTTGCCAAGGGTAAAATTAGAAGTAGAGGCGCTCAAAACTTTATTACACCAACACATATGTAAATTGTATCAAGTTATAGAAACAGATACTTATTATTTTATGGTAATAGAATATTGTTCAGGAGGAGAATTGTTTGATCACATAGGTGATTGTTCATATGATTTTATTTCATTAATGTTGATTCAACGCTTATTTAATAGAGATAAATGGCCAAGAATTAATTTCATTATTTTTACAGTTGAAAGAAACAGATTGACTGAGTCAGAATCTCGCAAATTTTTTCGTCAAATTGTTTCTGCAGTAGCATATTTGCATAGTCTCGGATATGCTCATCGTGATCTTAAGCCTGTATGTTTATTTTATATATATATATATTTTTTTTTTTACTTATCAATCAGTAGACAAATATAATGAGTTGTACTTATTTATAGGAAAATGTTTTATTAGATAAAGATGAAAATTTGAAACTCATTGATTTTGGTTTATGCGCAAAACCAAAAAGTGGAATGCAATCACATTTGTATACTTCTTGTGGTTCTCCAACTTATGCAGCACCGGAATTGATATTAGGCAAAAAATACTTAGGTTCTTAATAATATTTTTAATTTTGATTATTTCCTACTTTTATTAAAAAAGAAAAAAAAAAAAAGAAAAAAAAAAAAATAAACAGAAGTTGTCATAATTATTTTATGGATAGGTTCAGAAGTAGACATTTGGAGCATGGGAGTCATTCTTTATGCTTTACTCTGTGGTTTCCTTCCATTTGATGACAATAGTATAGAGAATTTATACAAAAAAATTTTGGTAAGAATCTTATAATCTTTATATTTTCCATTTTCAACTATTCTGTTACTTTAAATTTATCTGTTATATTTAGAATGGGAAATATGACGAGCCAGGTTGGTTATCTATTAGCAGCAAGAGATTAATTCGTGCAATGTTACAAAGAGATCCAAAAAAGAGGATAACAATTCAAGAATTGTGCAATCACCCATGGATAACATCAGGTTTCCTTAATCCAATATCATTTGTTCATAAAACTAATGTAAGAATTTTAAAAACAATTTTTTTTTATCCGTATACTAGGCTACTTCAATAAAAAAAGATATTTTGTTACATGGATACGCAGTTTGAGAAAGATGACGATGTATTAAGTACTATGTCGGCAATTTGTGGAGAACATAGTTCAGATATATGGAACATATTAGCTAAAAGTGATAGAACTGATTATAGAACAGCCACATATTTATTACTACTTGATAGAAAATTACGTGGGCTTTCTTTAAAAATATCATCCTCTGCGAAGTCTTATTTCAGGCAGGGCTTGGTATATATTTGTTACTATTTTTTATACCTACATATCATTCCTAATTATTGATATAACATATTATTATTATATAGACAGGAGTCGATTTACCACAGCATGAAGATGGAATTCATAATTTTATTACAAATTTGGAACACTCTCCTAGAAATAATAAAATAATTAGAAAATCACCCGTCACCAATGACTTTTCAACTAATAAATACAAAACTCCTATTACTGGTTAGTACTTGATTCTACATACACGTTTTGTTATTTGTGATTTTGTTTTTAAATTGAATTGTATTTTTATTTTTAGATAAAACTGTAAAACAATTTACAGAACCGCAAATTGCTTGTAGAAAAAGATTAAGAAGTAAAGAATCAGATGAGTGTTCTTCCCCTGGTAAGTTCTGTTTTTATTATAAATATATGCAACTAAGTATATATATATATATATATATATATATATATATATATTTATGTATATATATATATTAACATATTTGTTTTCTTATAAAAAAACATCTTTAGAAAGCTATTTTACTTTTGGTTGTAAAACATACTCTCTGTCTCTGCAATATGTTTTCTAAAGTTGGCTACTAATTAGGTGATACCAACATCTTAATTAGAAACTTTAATGGAAGTTCCTAAGATCTATACATTACAGTAGATATATGTAAAGTGGATAATTACAATAGAGAGAGATAAAGAGAGCGAAAGAGAGAGAGAGAGAGAGAGAGAGGGAGAAATAACACGCAGTTTAGAGTTAAAGGGTTTTCTTTCAGCACAATTTATGTGTTTTATTTTTATTAAACAAATATATATTTGTGCTTTTTTATATCATGTTTCTTGTAACATGAAAATTATCATAATAACTTAAATACTTTTGTTTCAGTACCAGCAAAGAAGTGTACTGAAAAAAATAAACTTGTATCAACACCTACCAATAACGTACCATTGGAATCTAGGTAAAATCATTGCAATTTTATTTCATTAAATTAATACTGATATTTGATTGACAAAATATTTGATATATAGAGATGCACAATCCTCGACGCCTGGAAGTGCAAGAAAAGTTATAATGGGTTTGGAGAGAGGGTTGCATCGTGTTAGGTGCGTTCTTACCCCAAAACGGCGAATCAAAAATGAGAATGTAGATCCCGATCAGCCTACTGTACTTTCTGGAAAAGTACGTATTTTTTCATTTAAAAAAAAAAATATATATATATAAAAAGAAATATATATAAACTTAATCAAATTATTTAAACGATTTTGCTTTATTTTTTGAAGGGTTTGTGCAATGTATCATCAACGTCAAGTGATTGTCCGAAATACGTTTTATCGCAATTACGACGAGCTTTGCGACGTAAAGGAATTATGTGTCATCAAAAAGGGTAAATAAAAAAAGGATCTATTATTAAAATAAATAAGCAATTAACAATTAATGAAATAATGATAAAAATTTTCGTAGTTTCATTCTACAAGGAGAAACAGACGATTGTACGGAAGACGTTAATAATACGAAACCATTTTTATCTAGAAATGCATGTTCATTCGAATTAGAAGTATGTTTATTGGAAGGTATTTCCGATGATAAATTATTAGTCGGTATACGAAGAAAAAGATTGAAGGGTGATGCATGGGTTTATAAACGAGTATGCGAAGAGGTATTAGCTTTGGCAGCTGAAGATATATCTAATGAACAAAAGGATGGTTCTTCGGAATCAAAGTGTCCTATTTAGAAGATTATAAATATTTTCAAATGGATACAGATAATTTTTACGATCTTAAGTACTACACGGTCCAAGATTTGAAGTATTTTGATCTCAGTCAGTGTGTATCGCGATCGCATATACATATATATATATATATACATGTTTGATTTAAAAAAAAAAAAAAAAAAAAAAAAAAAAAAAGAAAAAAAAAGAAAAAAAAAAGAAAAAAAAATGAAAGAAAAGGAAAAGAAAAACAATTTGTACATAAATTAAAATATATAATAATCGATCGAGTAAACGTAATATTAATTTTTTTATATCGCTTATTATATATCGCTCGGAATTCTCAGATTTTCTCAACAAAACTATAAATATATTATTAATCCTTAGATAAACATAATATGATCTTTATATATGAATAATAGATCTATTTAAAAAGAAGAAGAAGAAAAAAACAAGACAAAAACAAAAACAAAAAAGAAAAAAGAGAAGAAAAGAAAAGACAAAGAAAAATACAAAAAAATGTAACGACGAAAGTAATTTTCATAAAATGTATTCTATGAAATAACAAGCGTCCTTGTTATTGGCGTTACATTTTATATAAGGATTATTATAAAATATAAGGAATATTTAATAATAAACTGCAGCATATATAATATAAAATTCATAATAAATAAATATATATTTTTAACATTCCAACTTTAACTCGATTTCATCTTCTCTTTTATCTCTTCTTTCAATACCTTCGAAAACAGGAATGCATTCGATACGTTTCGCTGGTATGAACCCTTTGTACCGACGACGCGTATAAAAGGGCACAAAGAATCTTTGAATTTCGCCGACCCTTATCGCGAAATATGTAAAGCCTCGTTTTGATGTTCATAGGAAAGGTATCTAAACTATTGCGGTTCGTTTGAACCTTGGCATCACTGCGGGAATGTAAGTATAGACAGGTGAAGTTATAAAATCACAGAACAACAAATCGATCAGCATAAAACGAAAACGTTTTGTTTTATGGGAAAGGAAAAGACGATCCCTTTATCTTCGACCGCTCGTCGAAACTTCATTCGTCTTCAACTATCGTATTTTCAACTTTATATACCTTATGTATATATGTACCTACATATTTGCTTGTTCGTGTACTGCGTTAGTCCCGATCGATCGATCTCTTTCTTTGGATCGTTGTAAAACGACGACGAAACGAAGCTTGAAAATGATCCTTACGTCGGTCGGTGAATATATCAAAGAAGGGTTTACAAAGGGTTTGCCGATGAAATTTTTTATTATCTCTTTTAAGGTGAAATATTCTATTTTTTTTTTCTAATCACGATATCATTATATATAATACTTTCCAAATGATACACACATATATATATATATATATATATATATATATATATATATAGCACCGATACGATAATTTATTTTGTAAAAAGGAATTGGTAGAGAGAAACAAAAAACAAAAAAGAAAGAAGAAATATGGAGGAACATCTAAGTACGTAAGCGTATAGTTAATGCAATAGCAGTAGACCTAAGTCTACGGAACATAAATTACAATTAACCGAACGTTGAGAGCTGGCCTATGCGTGCGTGAGACTCTCTCGTATATGCAAGCGTTACTTACTTTAGCCTTGGTCTTTAATTCATCCTGCATTTTATATTTTATCTCGAGAAAGTCTTCCATCGAAATAGAAAAAGAGTCGAGGTATGCATATAGCACGAAGTAATACGGATTATCAATATAAGAATTGTAAATGTATCCCGACATGCTGTTGGGTAGAGAAAAATAAAAATGATGATCCATTCTGAGGGATGAAAAAGGATGAACAAGTATATAATAATAATAATAATAATAATAATAATAATAATAATAATAATAATAATAATAATAATAATAATAATAATAATAATAATAATAATAATAATAATAATAATAATAATAATAATAATAATAATACTAATATAGCAATAAAAATGAACTTTGGAAAATAAAATTTGCATCGTTCTTTAATAATTATAATACTTTTTTTTATAAATGATGATGGATCATTTATAGAAAAGAAAATTACAGACAAATAGATATACAATGATAATAATAATAATAATAATAATAATAATAATAATAATAATAATAATAATAATAATATAAACTTAAAAAAATAAACACTTTATACAATTCTTTAAATAATTATAATATAATTATATCTTGTCAATAATTATCAGTAAAACGAGGAAGAGAATATAAATAAAATAGATATGCATAACTATATAAACATTGATAAGAATTAATAAGTAAATAGCAACCGTTACAAACAAGATTTATTTCGTAGTCATGATCGCATCATTCGCATAATGATCATCATCGTAGACTGCGTTAGCCCTTATAAATCTTTCATGAGAATCCGAATCCGTTGGTCTCGCTAAGATATTTCTTAACGCATGCTTACCGCATACGGAACGTACGACTACATAAATACGTATACACAAAAACACACATATATGTATGTGTACACATATATATATATATATATATATATATATATATATACACATATATATACGTAGATACGTCCAGCACTGCCAATTACGGCCGTCGGTTAATTAAGGATTGGGGCAATGAGGCCCAGCGATGTAGTTTCCGTGATAATGATTATCTTCGACGGTAATTGAGTGCATGGCGTCTAGTGGAAGGGATAAGAAGAGATTAAGGGGTGGGGAGAGTGGAAAAGAAAGGGGAAGGTTGAAAAAGAAGGGTGAAGAAAGAAATGAAAAGAAAGAGGAAAGAATATATAACCACCTCCATCTTTCTTCCTTCTTTCTTTTTCTCCTTCGTCTTCTTCTTCTTCTTCGTTTTTTTTTTCTTTTCCTTCTTTTTTTTTTTCACGCTCGTTCTTGCCTCTTGTTGAATATCGTCTAAGTATAAAGACGATGAAAAAGGTAAGAAGGTACCTCTCCCGAGGCCGTAGAAGGCGCGTGTTTTAGCTTGTGTGCGCGAGCGCGTGTAAGGGTGGCACGCGCGGCCGGCTTCTATCGCTTCCGGGCATCAGCGTGATCGCGAGCCGCGGCTAATTGCTCTTTAATGCGAACGAACGAACGAGCGAACGAACGAACGAACGAACGAAAGAACGAAAGAACGAACGAAAGAACGAGCAGAAGCATCTCGTTTTTTAAGATTTTTTAAGATTTATAAACATATATAATGCATAAATAAACATTATATATATATTATTATATATATATATATGTATACACATGCATATATATAGCTATGTATATATTTTGTATATGTATATTGTATATACACACACACATATATATATATATAGTATTAAATGTATAATGTATGTATCTATATGTGTGTGCTATTTTTATATACACAATACATATATATATATATATATATATATATATATATATATATATCATGCGCTCACATAATTACAAACATTATACAATATTAAATATATGTGAATGTTTATATGAAAAAAAAATTGTTTATTGTGATAGCCAATAAAAAGGGAAGAAAATTAACGACTGATTTAGACAAAGAAATGATAATCATTTTCATCTTGTTAATATCGATAATCTTATATTATAAATTGATATGTACAATGTGATATATCAAGATCTATTGATTAAAGTTAGAATGAAATAATCATCTATTATAGAAATTATGTTAAACGAATAGCAGATATAAATGATATTACAAATTATATGTTTTATATATAGATAGTTTCAAATCGAGTCATACATTTTTAATACTCAATGCAATAACATTACCAATTCATATTCATAAAGTAGATATGTATAATACAACTGTGATGCAACTACGTAGAAACGAGGAAAAATCTTAAACTCGGTCACCCTTTTATTTATACATTCATTTCACCCTTTTTATCCGTACACCGAACAACTTATTATTAATAATAATAATAATAATAATAATAATAATAATAATAATAATAATAATAATAATAATAATAGTTGCAATAACAACAATAACAAAAATAATAATGAAAATAATAACAGTAACTAGAGTAATCAAGGAAACGTCCTGACAAAAATCGTCATGCGATTTGCACTCGGAAGGAAGGCAAGGAGTGCTAATCATCCGGCTTACCCATAGAGTCGCCTTCTATACTTTTCGGGTTACGAGTCTCTTATTGTTTATATTTCTGTTACGAGCAAAAGAGGGTTGCGTTTGCAGAGTTCGTAGGAAAAATAAAAGAACGGAGAAGGGAGTCCGTTCGCCGAGGCATGACTACCGTGTCCAGCAGAAGCTCATACATATGTAGTCCGCGAGTATCGTGGACAACAACGACTACGACGACTACAACGACGTAGAGAGAGAAAGAGAGAAAGAGAGAGAGAGAGAGAGAGAGAGAGAGAGAGAAAGAGAGGACGATGAAGTAAAATAAGGTGGGGAGAAGTGGGGTGGGGTGGGGTGGGGTGGGAGGCGGACCCTCCGGAAAAATGAATATGCAGTCACCGTTGGGCTATTATTTTATAAAATTTACTATCTCGCTTGGTACGTCCTCTATTCGCGATCGCTAACTGTGTACACGAACACGGTGCAAAAGAATTTTTCACTTTAATGAGAGAATACCAGCTGTCCTAATCAAAATGGCTTCTTTCTCTTCTTCTTCCTCGTTTTCTTCTTCTTCTTCTTCTTCTTCTTCTTCTTCTTCACTTTCATTTCCTTTCTTTTTTTCGATTACCATCGAAACTCATTTCAACTGTGCCAACGAACGTGTTCCAAGTCAAATCATTTGATACGATTTCGTACGATTATGTTTACTTTTTCTTTCGTTTTTCTTTTTTTTTCTTTTTTTTTCTTCTTCTCTTTTTTTTTTTTTACTTTACCATAATTAACATTCGAACGTTACATTTTTTTTTTTAAATACAGAGAGAAAGTTTCGGGAATATATTTGGAAGGTGTATTTGCATCGATAGTTATCTATCCGTTTATCGGTCGATCGATTTGACCAAGTGCACCTGCGAAAGTTTTATATCGCTGAAGACACGAACTATAGTTTTTTGTGAAGACAAGCGCGCTCTTGTGTGTATGTGTGTCTGCGTATTATGCGATTAGAATGAAATGAAATGAAATTATTGGATTTATATCGTTCACTAGAACGAGGTGTTAAAATTATTATGAATGTTTTTTTCATTCTTCCTTTTTTTGTTTTGTTTTTTTTTTTTTTTTTTTTTTTTTTAAGAAAAAATCAAGTTTTAGTTGTGATTAAACAAGAAAAAAGAAAAAAA